TAAAAATATAAAAGTTCACTTCATAATTAAATTATAAAATTCAATTTAATATATATAAAAAAATAGTTTTCTTTCTCACATAGTTCATTTCTCACACCTTTCCTCCATTCCACCAAATTATACAATGCAATTCTATATGTTAATCCATCTTAACAAAAACATTGCACAATAATTTTCTACTTATCATGCTTCATAACATACATACAATATATCTCAATAATCAATTTAAAGCAATTATCAGAATACTAAACATAGAAATAGGCAAATTCTCAATCTAAATTCATCAATAAATCATATAAAATTACTAATAATTAAGCAATCGATTCAAACAACATTCATGGATGCCTTATAATCATACAAGGTTCCATACACTCAAGTTGCTCCATTTAGAAGCCATAAATTTCACATAATCTTAAAACTTTAAAAATTCATTAAAAATAGAAATGACATTCAAATAATTCCAAATAAATTTCTAATTAACTTAGAAGTAAGGGACTTCTTCTCAATGCTATTTCAAGCAAAAATGAATTATAAAAGTTATCCTACCCCTTACCTTATGTTGTAACTTGGTGAAGAGTAACTCTTGATCAAATAATCTATCAAGTCTTTGGGTCTCCTCTTTGCACCTCTAAGTAGTCTCCTACATGCCAATTAAATACCCCAATTAAATCCTTAATTCCAACCATATTAGACCTCTAAAATCTCACCTCCTTCATAGCCTAAAATTCTAAAATTCAAGACTATGGTTATTTGAGTTATAAAATCATTTCTAGGGCCTAAATTGATGCTAATGAAATTAATACAAGTAGAAGAGAGTAATGGAAGTAATACACTTAGAGTAGGAAGAATCCTAATAACAAATATGGACAAGGTTCAGTATTTCAGAATTTTCTAGAGTTATATAAACTGTTTTGGCATGAGGTAAGAGACAAAATTTCAATAACTTAATTACCTACAATATTAATGAAGGAAATAAATTCAAATACCTTGTAGAATAAATGCAGTTTTTCAGTTTACAGTGGTTGTTTCCAACATGGATCAACTATAATAACACTCTGAACATGCCTTGGTAATTTGACTATAACTCATGCTACACATAAGCTATTGACATGAAACAAATTTCTAAATTTCGGGAATATAATTTCCTACAACTTTTATTAAGGAATCAAGTCCTAATTTCACACATATCAATCCCAGTAATTCAAAAACCGAGGCTGTTGAAACAGGGCAACCTCTTAACTTCACAGCTATAGCACTTGACAGTAAAATGAACATAACTTGAGCTACAAATATCCGTTTGATGTGAAACAAGTTTCTAAATTTCTATAACTTAAAGGGCTACAACTTTTATGAAGATACTAATTCCTAATTCTGTTCACAAACGTCCCAAAATTCAATGAACAGTGACTTACGAATTAGGGTGCTTAAGGTTTTTAGCTTAATCACTTCTAATCCTCAATTCTAAGTATTATTCTAGTGTCTTAGGTGTAAAACCTACAATAACACTCTTTTTACTCCCATTCAAGCTTAACCAAGTGAGGAAAAAAATTGAAAATGCACCGTTTTGAAAAATAAAACGGTAGAAATGTAGAAGAGATTGAGATAAACCAACTTACCTCTTGGAGTTTCTCAAGAAAATCAATATTTTCCCTTCAAAATTAAGCTTTGAGGAGCGTTTGAGAGAAATAGAAAAACAAAACGAGAGAAAGAAGAACTTACAGGAAGACGAGAATTGTGCTTTTTAAAAGAAGTCAAAGTCTACACTTTTTTTTTTTTTTTTAGATATATTATTATTTTATTATTATTATTTTATTATATATTTTTTTTTCCAGAAAATTTCTAAAAATCACAAATAATCTAACCAACATAAAACTCTATAGTCACTTTCCCCAATTCTTAATAATTTAATTAATAAAATTTTTGACAAAAGTTGTAAAGGTACTGAGAATTAGGATGTTACAGTGTATCCTGCAGAAGAATGCATATTTAGGGTAATTCTAAATTTTCTCACCAAGGTCAGACCCCCAAGGTGTCCCCATTATAGGGTTCCCACTCTCCCAGCTTTCAGATCATGTATGACACTAGGGCCTAGTTAGTCTTTGGGCCAAAAGAGGAAGGTTATTACCTTGAGTGGTGGTTTCCAACCATACCGGTGGACTCATGGTCCTCACTACGGCAAATCGTACAATGCCACCCACTCCCTATAGATATCCCACTTGCCCCCGGGTATAGGGGGAACTGTTGTGTGCAAGGGTTTGTATACAGTTTGTATTTCAAACAATTTGCATAAAATAAACATACAACAATTATTAAAACCAACCAATAAAACATGTTATAAAACAAGGAAGGGTAAAAGCGCAATTTTAAATTTTATTTCTTAAAACTAGTCCATCACTAAATGGGATCAACTCTCTAGCTTCCCTAGTAGAGTCACCATTTGTCGCCGCCGTCAAAAGAGGCGGTCGGAGCGACGCGATGGTTTCGTTCGACTCACATTTTTTAAAAGTGTGGTTCAACACTTTTTAGGTTGTCCGATAACCGGGCTGGACCTAAAAGCGATGTTTTCGAAAGGTTTGAGGAGTCACCACCAATATTTTTACCAGAAACATTGGAAAAGGAAAAGAAGGCAGTGATTTTTAAGAAAAACCAACTTTGGTCATTATAACCAGAGTTACGTAAGGGAGTTAATTACGTGTAGGGAAGGTATTAACTTCCCTACGACGCCTCTTTCGGGTTCCCTTTGATGGACTGTTTTTGATAAAGAAATAATAACTATAAAATTGCGCTTTCACCCTTATTTATTCATTGCGGAAATTAAGTTATTGACTACATGACCCTAAATGACTAATGCACAATGATATTATCTAAAAAGCAATAAAATAGAAAAGGGAGTGTATATGAACCTTCGAACCAAACTTTTATAGTATGTTCTTGAAATATGGTGCTTTTTGGCAAACCCCACGCTCTATAATGATGATCGCTCTTTCTCGCAGCACTCTAGAACGCTTTCTAAGAACTCTAAGAAACTCTGGAAATACTTCAGAAGGGTCCTAGGAGAATAATTCGAGAATATTACAGAAGGGAAAGTGGTAGAATGGTGTGTAAAGAGTGAAAAAGTTCCCCATTTTATAGGAATTTGAACTTATCAGGGATCGCCGTCTCGCCAAACGAGATGGTGGTCTCGACCCTTTGGGTGTAATTTCTTATTTTTTTTTGTACAAAAATCCTTCATATTCTAATATGAGGCCTATTGATTAATCCTAGGGACCTTTTAGGCGTTGTCCATCTTCGAACGAAAGTCTTCTCTTTATTTTGAGACTAGACAAGATTTGGGGTCTACAAGCTATAATTGATTTTAACTTTTTCAAAAGAAGAAAACTTTAGTAAGTTTTAGTGGGCATCAAAGTAAGGTTCTTTTTAAATCCGGAAAACATAGTGAGAAAATCAAATTCAATAGTGAAATCGTTTAGCTATAAGATTCTATATTTTGTTAAATTCAAAGTTGAATTCGTTCTTATATTTTTATTTTGTAAATCTTTATTGTATCTTGATGATTGTGAAGTAAACATCATAAGACTACTTGAAAATTGTGTTATCGTATTTTCAAGTTTTGTGAGTCTTGTTAGATCTGTTGATTAATGTGTTTTGTAATTTAATATCTGTATGTTATTTTTAATTTGTATATTGAGAATTTTTCTTAAATAATTAGATATATCGAGCTAATATAAAATTATTGTATTCTCATTTTTTTTCTTGTTTATCTTAGTGTTTTTGAAACTTTTAACATATTCAAAATTCTTTTTCAATTTGATTATCTAAAAAATATTCAATTAATTTATTAGATTTTAAAACGATTTAACAAACTCGATTCACCTTCCTTAGATGTGTTTAGTCAGTATGATTTTCTTACAATCCCTGTCCCGTGCCCAACCTTTTAAAACAGGCAAATCCAAACCCGTCTCAGTTTTAATATTTTACTATCAAATTCAAAGCAGATTTATGTATTATTCAATATATTTATTATACGTTATTATTATAATACTCATTAATATAAAAAATATATATTTTCAATTATACCATAAATATCATAAATTTAAAAATTCAGAAATATACCATTCAAAATTAATATACTTTTCATCCTAATCTAAGAATTATTCATACTTACCAGCTAATTTCCTTAATCTAGGATTGCAATAAACTTAGATAGTAAAAACAGTATATATCATCCTAAATAATTTTCTAATCCGTTAAATTCTTTGTCACTTTTTAAGCTGGATCATGAGAATAGTCCAGTGGACTTAATAATTTTAAAAATTGAAAGAGATAGAAATTTTATCCATAATTTATAATTAATAAATAATATTAAGGAGATAATTTTTAACCGTTTTGAAGTGTAATTAAAAAGAGAAAAAATACTATAATTAAAAAAATTATTATTATGATTTATATATTTAAAAAATAATAAAATATATGATAAAAAGAGAAAAGTAAAAAATTGATATATATTTAAAAAATAAAATAAAATTAAAAATAATATTTTAAAAAATAATTATAAATAATATATAGATATATAGTACTTTTAGCACCTATGTTCCCCTTATACAAATAAAGCTATTCACTCTTTTATTTATAAAATTTTAAAATTAACTAAATATATTTTTTTTATAAAAATATGTACCCTAGCATTTTTTTAACTAAAATTTATGAATAATAATTTTTAATTATTTTTATTTAATAATTTTATTTTAACTTCATAAATTTTAATTAATAAAAACTTAAAACACAAGTATATTAAAAAATTGCGTATTCTTATTCAGTTACGGTAAGATAAAGTAATAAAACAAAGCCAATAAAGACCAAGGAAGCACAAACACAAGGAACATAAAAGTAAGCTGGCATGGAATATTATACTCTTAATCGATCTCACGCAAAGCCTGCAACGTTTGAATGAAACGACGGTAACCAAACAAACAAAATATCCTTACACTGAGAAAGCCAAGATGCCGGAAGAAACAACGTCGATCGACTACGTCATGGAGGCCGCATCTGGGGCCCACTTCTCCGGCCTGAGACTCGACGGTCTGCTACCTTCCTCTGCCACTGCTTCCGCCACTCCCGATTCAACCCTAGCCTCCGATTCCATCCCCAATCAGCCTTTCGTTATAGGTTATTATTCTATTTTCTCCGCTCTTTTCTTTCTTCCAATGTTTCAATTCCAAAATTAAATTAATGCGATTGAGTGTGTGTATAGGAGTTTCCGGAGGTACTGCCTCCGGGAAAACCACCGTGTGCGACATGATCATTCAGCAGCTTCACGATCACCGGGTCGTCCTCGTCAATCAGGCACACTTCCATTCTCTTTTCATCTTTTTTTCCTTTTTATTTAAATTAATAATAATTATTTAATTGATACTTTTGCCTACTTAGTACTCTCTGCTTTTGAAACTGTTAGTAAGAGAGACCTCCCGTGTCGGAAAATTATGTAAAAGGAGGTAGGAATGGATTTTGACCCAAAACACCCAAAGTCCAGTATTTAGTAAAGTCAGTTGTATATAATATAGGGAGGAGGAGAAATAGGGAGCATATGGGAGAGGAATGACACATATATTCTTGGGTTGTGAAGGAGAGATCAAGTTCTCGAATTCCTGTAATACATTCTTGAATCTTTTACTTCGGTAGGGGTATTTTGTTCTCAACTAAGTGAGTCTAATAAAGATTTGTTCTTTCTTCTACACTTTCATTCCTTACAGAAACATTTTTTTCTTTTAATTTGTTATTTTCAAAATTTATTTACTCTTTTTTTAGCTAATCAATATCAATTTATGCATATGTATTTATTATAATGTAGAAATGGTAAAGAGTAAAATAGGAAACTTCACTACTTATTAATATCAGGAAAATTTAAATGATCATTATGTAAAATTCAAGACAAATAAAAAGAAATGGAGGAACTATTATTTAGTTTCTGAAACTGTGAGAGTGAGACACTGTCCTAATATTCTTGCAATCAGTATTACTTTCATTTTAGTTTCCAAGATATACAACTTACTTTCGTTATACTTTTATTCAGATCTACTAAAACATTAACTTTTGCGAAATTGCTATATTACATAGGGCTATTTTAGTCTAAAAATGTAATAGTTAATGTTTTCCTAATGAACGTGCACTAAGCTAAAATGACTATATTTTTCAAACGGAGTGTGTAGCTCCGAAATTATCATTATCATTATAGTATAGTGGTAAAGACTAAAATTACAATTTCAGAAATAGACTACTACAAGAGGCTTTTCAATTTCAAGCACTAAAATAGTTTAACTTTTTTTCTATCATGTGTGTAGGACTCGTTTTATCGTGGACTGAGACCTGAAGAGTTGGAACATGTTCATGAATATAATTTCGATCACCCTGGTAATTTTCATATCCGTTTATACGCACTGGTTGCTTGAACGAGTTTAGTTTAGTTCACTGAGTGGGTTCCGTTTCTTTGTAGAGGCTTTTGACACTGAGCAGTTGTTAGAGTGCATGGGGAAACTCATCAGTGGCCAGGGCGTGCATGTTCCCATTTATGACTTCAAGAAGCATCAACGTTCTTCTGATAGTTTTCGCCAGGTTTCAACTCAATTAAATGATGTCATTTTATTGTTGGCTAGGATTTCTTAGTTGATGCGGTGCTCTTTCCTCAGGTCAATGCATCCGATGTGATTATATTAGAGGGGATTCTTGTATTCCATGATCAGCGTGTGCGGGATCTGATGAACATGAAGATCTTTGTAGACACAGGTTTGTATCTTAACCTTTCAACAATGATGTGTCACATGAATGGTTTTAAAATGCGGTTGTGTTGCAAATATGCCATTTTTTATGTTGTGGAAATTTGTGGATTGTGGAGAGTCTGAGAACTTAATGCCAACTAAATAGTTTACAAAACACAATGCAGGGCTATAGTTACTAACTATTTGTGTAGCGTTCCTGTGGATGCTTGGTGAAGTAAATACTGGAAGGCATTTTTTAAGAATATGAACGAAAGAAACATCTAAAAACAACTAATACACAACATAATTGCTGTGACTGTAGATGGTCAAGTCATCGGGCTTATTGTGTTATTATTACAGCAAAGTATGGTGTTTATGTTTTTTATTGGATGGACTGTCTATATGGTTTCCTGGACAATATGCAGAAATTGGAGAGTAGACTGCATTCTTTTTCAATACATAGCGTTTTCAATTTTCTAATCAATTAGGGCTTCCTGCCTTTGATATATTGTTTAGGTGTGCAGTCCTTGTCTCATGAGTGATTATACTTTGTGAACCGACATGTATCTGTAATATGCCCATTTATATGGTAAATCTATTTGTCCATATATTTCCTATGTATATTGATTTTCCATTCCTTTCATTTTGTAGTAAATTCTGAGAACCTTCCCTTGAATACTTTGACCAAGAATGTTATTCCGAAGATTTAATATTACATTCCAAGGATTGACCTTCCCTAGAATACAATACTATGACCCAGAATTTTATTCCTAAGTAAATTCAACAATCCTATTGGTTTGATTTTAAAATTTCTAGAAATATTTTTTAAAATTCAAATGATATTAAAATAAGAGAGTAATAATAGAAATGGAAGTTGTAATTGGGTAAGAAAATAACTTTCCGGATTCCTATGGTAATACGACTTTCTGATTCCTCATCAAGGGAAAACAAATTAAGTAAAACAAGCTATTGCTACTGTTTTTTGGGATGAACATGGAATGGGATGTTGCATTCCCTGGAATAAATTTGTAAATATTAACACACTACTTAGATTAGTATTTTGTATGGTAATGGAAGCTCCAAGCTGTGTCTAATCTCATCTTTGGTTATTAATTGCTTACAGATGCTGATGTGAGGCTTGCTCGTAGAATTAGACGTGACACAGTGGAGAGGGGCAGGGATATAAACTCTGTTCTTGAACAGGTATGTCCAATAGTGTAATTGGTAAGCATGGTTCTACAGCAGCTAGGCTAATAATGACAGTACTTCTCATATTAATTTTATAGTTTTGAGAAAGTGGCGTGTGAATAGAGAGAGAATTTCATAATCCTTATGATGTGCGATCAATAACATAGCATATTTATCCCTAACATGTAATGTTGTTTTGTATTTTGTAGTATGCAAAATTTGTTAAGCCTGCATTTGATGATTTTGTTCTACCATCAAAAAAGTATGCTGATGTGATCATTCCACGTGGAGGTGATAATCATGTTGCCATAGATTTGATTGTGCAACATATCCGTACAAAGCTTGGTCAACATGATCTATGCAAAATATATCCAAATGTCTATGTTATTCAGTCTACATTTCAGGTATCTTCAAACATAGCTTGTCATTTGTTACTTTTATTTTTTCTCGTCTTTTGATGTAAAATTTGGGGAAGATCCAGTGACACATTCATACTGCTCACACAAATAGACTAGTAGTTACTTTACTTAAAGAACCATTACAAACCCTTGACATCATCATTTTTTATTGTTGGCGGGGTTGAAAAGAATAATTATCAAGTTTTACATTTTGTGGATCATAAGAATTATTATTTCAATGTAACCAAACAAAGCAATTTGTTTCACCTTGAATGTCCAAGAAGAACTGAGAATTATTTTGGCAGGACATAAGATGAAGATTATTCATGTTTTTATTTGACTTTGGATACATGCTAAATGACACCATATGATCCATGGAGCTAGTTGACCTCACCTAGTAGGATAAGACTTTTGTTGTTGTATTCAAATTCAAATTGGGATATATATCAAAGTGGAACAGAAATTGGAAATTGAGAATGATCACATTTCAAGGCTACAACTTGTCATTTTATAGTGACTAAATGATACAAATGCATAGGCTATGCTATAGAGGCTAGAGTATCCTTTTAGATAGAAAGTAACATAGGTTGCTTTGTACATTGGTAATTGTTGCTGCTCTTGTCTTTATTTGTGTTCAAAACATAAACCAAACTAGTTGGTCAAACCGGGAAACTGATGAACTGGTTCAACTATACATCACATGGGCTTGAAAATGAACTACTAAATACAGGGCCTACAAAAAAATTTACAAAATGAAAATTTTAACTTTTTTTTTCTTATTAAAATAAAAAAATGCCATTTTTTGTTTTATTCTAAACATAAACTTGTTATTATAAATAAATATTGATTTATGGTGTTGAAATTTATACTTAAGTATGATAAGATGTATTTTAAACTATATATATTTTAAATTTAAGAACCTATAAATTTATGTTTTATTTTAGTTATGAGCATTATAAATTTATTATTATATTTTTTCTAATATTATTTATATATTTTCTATTTATTAAAATATTTTTATGAACATTACCACTTTGACCCTAGTTCAACCACAGTTGAACTATTGAACCTTGAATAGTTTCTTGACCGTTTCAATAACTGGTATGGTTTTTAAAAACATAACTTTTTATTGATAAGCTACAAGTTGGTATAATGTGAGGTAAGCCCAATAATGGTCTTGTTTCTGGTCTATAGGAGATTCTAGCAGACTGACAGGGATAAAAATATAGACAGGACAGCAAACGACAGTGATTGGATTGTGAGGGTGAGTGAGATCCCAGGCTCTCATAATTCTAAGAGAACACTTGTATTCATTCCTTTCCAGTGAACAATTTTTTGTTCTTTCTATAATCCAACCCGACTCTTCGAACTGGTTATCAGAGCTCTGTTTTAGAGCTGTGGTTATTGAAACTTAAAGATGATTTGAAATTTAAAGGAGTAGAGGTGTATGTGTGGTAGCTCTGCTGTGAAAACACTAGAGGTTGAGAAGCTATCACAGACTGTAAAGGCTCTAAGAGAGCGTATTTTCAGTAGATGGCTTAGGTAGAAATGGAAAAATCTGAATGTAACATGGTGGACCTTTTTGCAGGCTGTGATTAAACATTTCCAATAAGTCGATCAAGTGGTCTGGGCATCGGAAAGAAATAAAAATGGTTGCAGCAACAAATTTTCGAACCAGAGACAACCAAGAATGAGGAAAAACTAGACGGAGTAAGAAGTGGAGTGTTCCAACGGTTTAAGAAAAAGAAGTTTCGTACACAAATCATTGGATACTTGTAGGTTTTTGAAAGGAGCTCATTTTCTGGGAGGGAGACGGAGACCATCTTTTTGGTTGTTAGATGGAGAAACAAATGCAGCTTCATCTCAGCAAAAATTCAGAAGACAAGAAAGATAGGGAATTTATCCTTGTAGGTGGGGGTGATGGTGGAGCTAATATGAAGGGAACACGATGATGATGTAATTCTTAGCATTGCGGATCCAATTGACCTCTATTTACATAACAATTGAGCAAATGAACAAGCTATGAAACTTAGATCTACCAAGTGTTCCTAACATATACTTAGACATTTCCATCTCATTTGAGAGATCCTCGAGAAAAGTGATGCAAAGACATGCTGAGTACCAATACTTGAAAATGATGTGGACCCACTTATGAAACTGATAGGCAAGGAAAAAATGAGGGGGTCTGGAAAGTTTATTATAGAAGAAAAAATAAAGGAAGCGGTGGAAAGTTAGTGGGTGCGGTGCTGTCAGTTGAGAGTGAGTCTATATAATTAGACTAATTTTGATCCTTTTAGGCACGTCTTTTTAGAAATTGGAATTGGAAATGAGTGTTAGCTCGTGTGAAAGGAGAGAGCTCCTTTGTATGCATTTTTTTCTGTTTTTTTTTTCCAGCAATAAAGAAAGTTTCTTTTATCTTTCTTTTGAGTATCCTATCAGAAACTTCTTACGCCGCGAAAGTATGATGGATGGCCACACTAAATCTATGGGTATATTAGACATATGTCTAATTGGTTGAGACTGTAGGTGTAAGCCTAGAGGCCAATGTTTTATTTTACCAGATATACTTATTTTATTATCTGTCTTTTATTCAATAATTATATATTGCATTTCTTTGATTATGTGTTTCTTTTAACATGATAAAATCCTTAATTGAAAATTAAATCTTACATGGCAGATAAGGGGGATGCATACATTGATTCGGGACCGAGACATATCAAAACATGATTTTGTATTTTATTCAGATAGACTTATACGCCTGGTACTGTTTGGTTTATAGCTCTGCTGAATTTCTTACCTTTATGGGTTTTCCGTACTTAGTTCATTAGACATGATTTGGGTATCAGGTTGTTGAGCATGGTCTAGGTCATCTGCCTTTCACCGAAAAGCAAGTGGTTACTCCCACAGGTAATTATCATCTGTTATTGTCCTCGGTCCTTTCAGTTTTATGTTCATTGTAACTCCTCTTGTTTGGGGAATAAGATTTATGCTTTGTGAACTGCAACATGTCTGGTAGAGAAGTGGGAGGTCAACAGTAGTTTACAAATGGAGGTTTATGTTGACAACGCTAATTAACTGAAATGAGGTTCATATTGCAGGATCTGTCTATACTGGTGTTGATTTCTGCAAAAAGTTGTGTGGTGTTTCTATTGTTCGAAGGTAAGCATTGAACCAGGTATTAATAATGGTGGGTGAAGTGTAAATGACAGTACTTTTCAGAAATGCAGTGATGGAACTAAGTACTGTTCCCTTGTTTGATTAAATTAATGATCTCAAATTTTCATTTGGGTGTATATATGGTTCAGCAAACATTTTGAATCCCTAGTACTGAAGCTCTACTTATTCACTTCCACACTTTGTCCCTTTGGCTTATCGTTCATTGTTTTTGGATTATAGTGGTGAGAGCATGGAAAATGCGCTTCGTGCATGTTGTAAAGGCATTAAAATTGGTAAAATTCTTATTCACCGGGATGGAGACAACGGTAAACAGGTAAACATAGATGTATAGTCTTTACTAATGTTGTTGGTGTTCAATGGTAAACCCTTTGCTTCTCTGAGCAGCTTATATATGAAAAGCTTCCCAAGGATATTTCAGAACGGCATGTATTGCTTCTTGACCCTGTCCTGGCCACAGGTTAGGATTTGGAATCTTCTCCCACGATTTATTTTCCGTTTGATATTTCAATAGTCATTTTAACTTGAAATTCTTTGGGCAGCAGTTAATGCTCACGATTTTATTTACATTCTGTGAATTGATGGGAAGAAACCCTGTAGAATACTTTTGTATATTATGTTTCTGCTGGTATGAATGGTATTTGTGAATGTATAAATATTATTTTATAGGGAGTCAGGGATGTGGTATTGGTCATATAAATAAAATATAATTGAATTTGTTATAGAATTAACGTAATTGCATTTTGCTAGATACTGCATTACTATTTTGGAATGTCTCACTTGTACTAGTCTAGTAGTCTACTGTTGATTTATTAGAATCCTTCTATTATACTGTTAATACCTTCTTCGTTCTGCTGATAAATTGATTAACATCAATAACTTCCATTTTAGGTAACTCTGCAAACCAAGCAATTGAGCTACTCATTCAGAAAGGAGTACCAGAAAACCACATTATATTCCTAAATCTCATTTCTGTGAGTTAATTCTGATGTCTTCTTTGCTGCTGATATAAGCACTTATTTGATTATCATTTCACATTGTTTACCTACACTGATCTTATGGACCATTTTGTATTCAGGCTCCTGAGGGAATCCACTGCGTGTGTAAAAGGTTTCCATCATTGAAGATTGTTACATCCGAGATAGATGTTGAATTAAATGAAGAGTACCGTGTTATCCCAGGATTAGGCGAATTTGGTGATCGCTACTTTGGCACCGATGATTGATCCTGCGTTATGAACTAAGGTGGGGGAGACACCTTTTTTGGGTAGCAGCTCGCATTGTACTGAGATTTTAAAGATTTATCAAAACCAGATTTATTGTGATTTTAGGCAGTCAGATTAGAATAATACCAATTGAAACCTACACGTTGATAAATAAGAATGATTTTCATATCATTAAATGTAGAGATCATTCTTTGCAAGATGATGTTACCAAACGCAAATTGGTTTACACAATTCTGCCCCATCATAATCTTCAAAGTTGGTTACGTGGAAATTTCCGTAGTTATCGATGCAATCTATATAACAAGATCAATCATCATATGTAAATGTAGTATATTTCATTAATCTATCTGGTATAAAGATTGCATTTTTTATTTCTTTGTAATTGTAATATTTCTATTAGAAATCACAAAATGAGTTTTGTTAAGTCTATCAATCTTTTGGATAACTCGTGGGGTAGGGCAAGTCAACATGTAGTTAGTTTGGTTAAAAAAAAATATTTTGATTATACTTGATGAAAATTTTTGGAAATTTTATTGTAATTTAGAATAACAGAGTTTTATCAAATGAAAGTTGTCATGTAAGAGAGTTCAAGGGTTTGAATTTAATTAAAAAAAAAATATCCCGTTAACTAAAGTCATGATACTTGAGAGTCTATAAGATTATCTTACTAAGTCTACGTAAGAAGGTAGACTTAATTTTTGAACTCAATTTGGGAACTTGACTCGTAGACTCATGAGAGGCTATATAATGTGAGACATACCAATTTAACTATTGTTATTTTATATAAAAAATATCAATTTAACAAAAGGTATATGATAATATATTTTTATTTCTGAAAACATAATTGTATAACATGTTTTCTTCATTTCGTTACTCTTAAAGAATTATACTAAATTTATGCACGACTTAATTTAGAATTTTCTTTCTAATATTATAATAAGACGGAGGTTTATAGTCAACATCATACATATCTCTTAACCATTTCATGCATTTTTACAAAAGTTGGATTTTTAATACTATTGAATGTAACACTTATGTAAAAAAATTTGACCAACTTCAACATTTACTTCTTTTTTATTATCTTATAATTGACTTATAATAGTCTCAACACTACACTACATTTATTACATTTTCCCTTATTTTTAAATATTTTACTACTTTGACTTTGATTATGATTAATTTTCTCAATGTTATTCAACATTCTCTTCCCTCCATAATTTTTATCATTAAAATTTTAATTTTTTTTGGCAAAGCACAACTTTCAGAATCATATTTAATTCTAATGAGATAATGCTTAAAATAATTACATTTTACTATTACTTTTATTGTCCAAAATATCTATTTTATATTTTTGTCCAATATTTATGTATTTCTTGGTGTATTTGAGAATGTAGTTACATTGTCTTTAGGAAAATTTAAACTAATTCCAAACATTTTCAAAATTTAAAATATCTAAAATAACCAAAATAAAAAATAATAAGACTATACAAATTTAAAAAAAAAACTAGAAAAACATATAACAAAATCCTAAAATTAAGCATGACAACAGACTAAGTGGGACGAGATTTGCCTCGCAAACTTCGTCTCTGATTTCTTTTAACCATTTTTGTCCTTGATTCCTATTCACCTTGAAAATTAAGTTCTCATCGTCTTTATTAGATTTTGGATTTTCTACATTATTTCTAAAAAATAATTATACTTATAATAAATTAATTTTAATATATTTTTTTATACAAAATAAATATTTATAACATTATAGTTTTTAACTATTATTACTAATTAAATATATACTTTAATTTATTATATTTATATTAAAACATTTATATAAAATAAATATTTATAATATTTTTTTACATGTACTTTTATATATATATATGATTATTATAATTATAATACTATATTTAAATATTTAATTATATAAGTTATTTTTTTTAAGTTATGATTTTAAAATATTTATAAATATAAAATCTATAATTTAAGAGAAAATATTTAATAAATTAATTATTATTTAATTAGTTAAAAGTAATGAAATATTTAATTATTAATTCTTTTTAATCTTTTAAAATATAATTATTTTATTAAAGAAATTTAATATATAATAAATAAGAATAATAAAATAAAAATATAACATATTAAAATTTAATAAAAATATTAATTAATTGATGTAAAATATTTATAAAAAGATAAAAAGGAAGAAAAATTATTTTTATAATGATAAAAAAAATAATATAATGAATTGATTGATATAAAAAATTATAATAAATGGATAAAAAAATTGGTAAAATATAAAAAATATATATATAATATGGGGAAAAATAAAATATTTTAAAAATATTAAAATTTAAATTTAAACATTTAAGCGGGAACGGACTGTACGGGATGAGACGGGCGGAGTGGGACGGGTTGATACTGAGAATTACATTATCCGAAGAAAACCCAAATCCGTCCCACCGGATCAGTTTTTCCCGTCAACCTGATTCCTAATCTTTTATCCGTACGGGCATCCCCACCTAAAATCCCCCTAATCCCACCAGCGAGCAGCAGCGATTCTGCGGCGACTTGGGCGAACAGCAGCGACTTCAACGACATTAATGTATCCTTAGTAGGATTGAATTTCACTTTTAGTGTATTACTTGGCTTTATCAAATGTTGACTTATAATTTTACCTTTTGCATTTGTTTTTGATTTTATTGTTTGGGGGAGGCTTGTGGACATTTATTTCTCATCATACTTTCAATGGCAAAGGTAGATGAAGATCTCTGAAATTAATATAGAAGGCCTTGACTGACTATGATTACTCTTATTCGGTTCCTACGGTCTTTTTGAGATCTTACATCTGATTCTTCGTTTTCTCTTTTAGTGAGGTTACAGAATTGTAACCTTTCAATTCTGAGCGAAGTTCAACATGCAAGTTTTTCCAAGTGAAGGTGAAAGTGCTCTTCAGTTGTTGGTCCAAGGCCAATGGAATGGTCTACTGTTCCATATAATGCACCACAAGCTCCTGGAGCAAATGGAAAGCAGCGGACCTCAAGTTTGGAATCACCAATCATGTTGCTGTCAGGCCACCAGAGTGCTATATATACCGTGAAGTTCAATCCAGCAGGATCAGTCGTTGCATCTGGATCTCATGACAGGGAAATTTTCCTCTGGAATGTGCACGGGGATTGCAAGAACTTCATGGTTCTGAAAGGTCATAAGAATGCAGTTTTAGATCTTCACTGGACTACGGATGGGACACAGATAGTTTCTGCCAGCCCTGATAAAACAGTGAGGGCATGGGATGTCGAAACAGGAAAACAAATAAAAAAGATGGTAGAACATGTCTCATATGTTAATTCATGTTGTCCTTCCCGAAGGGGACCACCTCTTGTTGTTAGTGGCTCTGATGATGGAACTGCTAAATTATGGGATATGCGTCAAAGGGGTTCCATCCAAACATTCCCAGATAAATACCAGATTACAGCTGTTGGCTTCTCTGATGCATCAGATAAGATCTTCACTGGTGGTATTGATAATGATGTCAAGATTTGGGATTTGCGTAAAGGTGAAGTTACCATGACACTACAAGGTCATCAAGATATGATTACTGCTATGCAATTGAGTCCTGATGGGTCCTACCTTCTTACAAATGGCATGGATTGCAAGCTTTGCATTTGGGATATGCGCCCATATGCTCCACAAAATCGCTGTGTGAAGGTGTTGGAAGGGCACCAACACAACTTTGAGAAGAACTTGTTGAAGTGTGGTTGGTCTCCTGATGGAAGCAAGGTAACAGCTGGTAGTTCTGATCGAATGGTTTATATCTGGGATACTACTACTCGTCGCATCTTGTATAAGCTTCCTGGTCACAATGGATCCGTTAATGAGTGTGTTTTTCATCCCAATGAGCCTATTGTTGGATCTTGCAGCAGTGACAAGCAGATTTATCTGGGGGAGATATGAAACCTAACGTTTAGGAGCATGCCATAATGAAATGAGCATGTTAGTGCTTTTGACAACCTTTAGGAACCGGTAACTTTAGAAATCTTGAAGCCCTTCGTTTCCTGATCGATGAATTCAGTGATTGTATAATGTTCTGCCAAAAATATTATATCCTGCTTTCCTTACTAATTGATGTAATTTGAGATTTGACATTGGTGAGAATGGCTCATTGAACTTTAAGTCATTTTGCTTAGGGCTGAAAGCTTTATTCCTTCATGAATTACATTATTTTTAAACTGAAAAATGTTAGTACATTCTTGATGTGTATTTTTGTAAAGCATCATACTTCATTAGGCATGTTTCACGTAGATCTTGTTAAAAGATCTGTCATATTCTTGTGATATAATTTACCTCATCCATAATAGAAAAGGAATGCAAGCTCTACCCACTTCAACTTTGCATGGTATAAAGATTTAAATTGATCTTTTAAAGAAAAGGGTAATATAATTGCTAGAAAGAAAATTAAATATGTTTGATAGCCCATACGAGTTATCCCTTCAAGTATTCAAATTATTTCTTACATCATATTCTTTAGCTTGGCCCATGTCACTAGTGTATTTATCTCTATCACCAATGTTCATGTCCGTTTCCTTGGGTTGGTCTCCATCTCCAAAGTCTTGGTCTCCTTCCTTTGGTTGTGAAATGCTAATATATCTATCACCAATGTCCATGTCCATTTCCTCGGGTTTGTCTCTAAACCAACTTTCTCACTACGCCTTTATTCCTTAAAAGGATGTGTATGTTTGTTATACGAATCCACGATGAACACGATATCTAGAAGGCAAAGACCATCATGATCAAAGATGAGATGTAATCTTTTAACCATATGGGCTGGTTGATAATTTGAAAGGGCTTATTGTGGTCATGTATTGTGGATGAATCACTCTTATTGCTAACAATACGTTGGTCCTATGTAGAAACCTTGTCCTGAAGGTTTGGTAGATTACGCTTGGTTTGGGGAGTAATGGGTTTGTTGAGGTGGGCAATGTTGTTTGTACGAGGAGGGTTAGCATGTTGGTTTGTTGTGCTAGCGCAAGTGAGGTAGGGGGACTCGGTAAGACATTAGGGTGAGGTAGTGGGAGTGTTCCAGGTGCAATGGGTCTCGTGTGTTTCATACGAAGGTGTGGGAAATATGAAACTGGGCCGATGAGGAGAAAGGTGGGGAGACATTTCGGCTCCTTCTTACTGCACCCCCATAATTTTTTCCTGCACCCTTATAACAATGTAAAATGATTAAAATACACTTTTACTAATTTTTGTTTGGTATCCTAAAAGACTTCTTCACTCTTGGGCTTCCCTGCACCTCCATAATTCTTGCATCTTCGTTTTGCTTCCCTTTCACCTCTGTTAAAGATTATTTTCAGTGCATAAGATTAGAAATTGTCAATATTTTGTACCTATTATAAAATAATCGTCCTAATGTCCATAAAAATTAAACTGAAAGTGGAAATGAAAATGGAAATAAGAGTTTAAACTTCTCCATCCAAAATGTATTTCTGAACTCGAAAGTGAGTTCCAGAAAACTAATCAAAAATATATTTCGAGAACCCTCAATCCAAAAATATATTTTAGATTATTTGTTTTGTAACTCATTTCTAGATTATTATTTATGAAAATGTATTCTAGATGGAGTGTTTTGAAAATGAATTTTGAAACCATGTGATATAGTAACATCCAATTTGAAAATGGGTTACAAAAATCTTAATATGTTTTGATAAACTCTATAAATCGTATTCGCCTAACTTTCAGATTGAACAATCCAGATATATTTTAAGATCCACCAATTCAAAATATGTTTTCTGAAAATCAAATTCGACAATCTTGTTTCAGATTAGTACTTTTTTAAAAATAGTAAAATAAATAACACAAAATTCCAAATACAAAAAATAATATATCTATTTGATAGACTTTAAAAGTGCATTCATTATACAATTAAGGAATAAATATTTTTACAAAATATGTATTATGATTGTACTACAAATTTATAATTGAAAATGATTAGAACTTGTTCCTTATCTTCGCACTATGTTGATGGAAAAATCAGTATAACTGTGTCACAGTTAAAAACGTTTTTTTAATTGCTTTCCAATTGATTGGTAAGGTAAAAAGATTGAGGTACATCCCATAGAGTGGTTCAAAACCAGTTTGTTTTGCTAATTGAGTCATATATGGTAACACAAGCTTTATATCTTAAAAATAATAGCAATTAATGAAACTTGATTGAATTTGCAATCTACACTAAAGAAGTTAATTCAAACTAACTGGAACTTAAATGGATCTCCAATCCAAACTTCACCTACCAATATAGCTTTATGTGCCAACATCTGTAAAAACAAACACAATTAACAACCAACTCTTGAAGGCAGTAGAGGTCATTGATTCTAATGAATATATTATGTCAGTTCCAATCAATACAAAACAAGGTTTGTTTTCAAAAGTCAGCATGGAGATATTTAAAGATGGGAAAGAAATAACTTAAGTTGCACTTCATAAAATTCATGGACAATGTCTTATTTCTTTCATAATAGACTTCATGAAAATCTCATTCTAAAATAAATAATGAAAAATGTTTAGCATATAGGAAGTTTAACCCTAACCTAAAATCAGTTAATATATTAGACCCTTTTAGGGCCTGGTTCATCCATCCGACACAACCCATTTCTTCCTTTAAAGAAAAATATATTAGCGACGAAATTTTTTCAATAAAACCAAAAAACATCTTATTTTCGATAGATATTACTGATGGATAGTATGTACGGTGGTTTTATTAATTTGTCAACTTTTTATCAACTTGTAGATGATTTTATTTGTCACTAATGTTAAATTATTGATGGTCATTGATCCGTCACTAATTTTCTGAAGATAAATCACGGATTTTTTGTAATGACCGCCACTGCATTACGTGTTGGGGTCACTTAAGATCCTTAAGCTTATACCAATTCATAGAAGTAAACGTAATTCTAAGATTTTCATCAAAGAATTATAGTTAACAGTCCCAAAGTCATTAAAAAAGAATATATACAAGGAGAGATAGAGAACAAATTAACAATAAACTATCTTAACGGTTATAACCGGAACCGTTATTGCAGTTATTTATAACATATCCAGCTTCGAAACCTCATTGTGCACCAGTAAGATAGTTTGTAAGAATTAACGTTAAAAAGGGAGCAATATTGTTAAGAAGAAAGTAGTATAACATCAAATGACTAGAATTAATACTTAGGAGATCATCATAAGGTTTTTATAATCTTTTGAAAGTATGAGGTTAAGTTATGATAAAAGATCACTTGATAATCTTATTAGTAAAAATTTGACGTGGGAGTCCATCTAATAACAATGATAATATGTGATATATTATATAAAATAATCAAATTTGTGAATCATAAAATCAAAGTAAGGAAGAGAGACTATAAGTAATATGTCCAGAATGATTTGTACATGATCATAATATATATATATATATATATATATATATATATATATCTTTTGTTTGTTAAGTAGAAGGAGTGAACCACTAAATTTAAACATAACATCTCAAGAGACAAATGATAAAGTGAAACCATGATAAACCTACTATAATCCTAATGTGAATTATCATCTTATTATTAATGTTGACATTGAGAATGACAAATCTTTATTATTAATTTTGAATTCAAATAATATATTATTAATAACTAATAAATAAATATAAAAAGATAAAAAATAAAATTATAAATAAATATATTAAATAATAGTTAAATCGAGATTAAAATTATAATTAATATGGAAATTATCCTAATCTCTTAGTTTTAATAAGATCCATAGTATAGTACAAACAATATGTAATAACTTCTTAAATAATATAAATAAATGATACTAGAAACAATAAATAATAACTCCTTAGAAACAGTAAGTAATAACTCGTAAAGTAGTATAGATAAACGATGCTACGTAGTAGAGATGACAACTGTAGAGGAAAACTTGAGGAAGTGTGTGGCACTGACAAAAAGAGTAAGTTATAGATAATATCAAATTTAATGAAGATAGGAAAGTTTAATTCAAAGACATCTTCAACCGATGCAAACTACACGGGAGAAAGACTGGCACGAGGATTTTAGAAAATTTACTGTGAGAACAAAGTCCCACATTTGTGGGTACTTCAAAGGGGGCATGGGTGAGTGGTTATATAAGAAACCACATACCCCCCATTCTAGACATCCCAAAAAAAAAAATTATTTTCCTTCTCTAGTATTAGAAAGTGTTGTCAATTTTAGGACTAGAGAAGGGGTGTGTAATCTTTTCTTGCTATTATAAAATTTCTACTTTTGTCCATTATTGCTATTCTATTTTTCTCTTCTCTATTTTAGTTGAGTTCTTGTGCTAGTCTGATACCTAACAGTGGTATCAGAGCCACGTTCTTATTCCGTTGCGCTAGTCACTAGAATAGTGTTGATAAAATTCTGAGTATGCTCTGTGGTTGCGGTTTAATCTGATCTTCCACATAAGAAAAGAGTTGTTACTGGAAAAGGTGTAGTAGTGTAAAACTGTTGTCTGGGGAAGTTCTGGCTAGGAAAGACTTGGTACTTAAGTGTGTCCATTAGTGACTCACCTCTCTTTCCTGGGAACTTACCTAGTGTATTGGTTCACGGTCTACTACTATTGTTCCAGTAGACAATACTATTCATAAGTGAGAGTTGCATAAGTGGAAACACAACTATGGCAGAGAAAGTATGAGATAGAGAAGTTCAACTGGAACAATTTCTCGTTATGGAAATTGAAGATGAAGGCAATTTTGAGAAAGGACAATTGCCTTGATGCAATTGAAGGAAGACCCGCAGAAATGACTGGATCGAAGTGGAAGGAAATTGACTGAAATGCTATAGCAAATTTGCATTTAGCAATGGCAGATTCCGTACTATCCAAGTGTTGCGAAAAGAATACAAAGAAAGGAGATTTGGGATGCCCTCATCAAATTATATGAGGTGAAGTCTCTTCACACAAGGATATTCTTGAAGCTTGAAACTCTACACTCTTCGGATGAGTGAGTCCACATCGATGACGGACCACATTAATCATCTGAACACCTTATTTGCCCAACTATCAGCAGCAGATTTCAACATAGTTGAAAATGAACGTGCGGAACTTCTACTTCAGAGTCTACCAGACTCATACGATCAACTCATCATCAACATAACAAATACTAATATGGAAGGAAATCTACGCTTTGAGGATGTTGCCGGAGCTACTCTAGAAGAAGAATCCAGACGCAAGAATAAAGTAGATAGATTGGAAAATTCCAAGCAAGCAGAGGCTTTGACGATGATGAGAGGAAGATCAACAGAGCGTGGCTCCAGTGGGAGTCAAAACCATGGTAGATCAAAATCTCGAGGAAGGAAGAATTTCAAATGCTACTATTGTGGCATGAGAGGGCACTTGAAGAAAGATTGTTGGAAGAAGAAAAATGCAGAGAAGTCTTCTGAGGCAACTACATCTCAAGGATGTGTTGCCAGTACCTCTGATGATGGAGAAATCCCGTATAGCGAAGCAGCCTATTGGTTCCAAAGGTGAAAAACAACTCACCGATGTTTGGATAATAGATTCGGGAGCAACATGGCACATGACTTCACGAAGAGATTGGTTTTGCACTTATAAACCTATCTCGGAGGGATCTCGTGTTCATGGGTAATGATCACGCCTTGGAAATTGCTGGAATCGGTACTGTCAAATTGAAGATGTACAATGGGACTATTCGTACAATTCAAGGGGTACGACATGTGAAGGGTTTGAGAAAGAATTTATTGTCTATTGGACAATTGGATGACCTCGGTTGCAAGACCCATATTGAAGGTGGGATCTTGAAAGTAGTGAAAGGTGCTCTAGTAGTGATGAAAGCAGAGAAGTTTGCCGCAAACCTATACATGCTTCCGGGAGATACGTTGCAAGAGGCAGATGTATCGCTTGCATCGCCTAGTCAAGAGGAATCAACGACAATGTGGCATCGCAGACTAGGCCATATGTCGAACGAGGCTTGAAGGTCCTTGCGGAACGTAAACTCTACTCCGGGCTCACATCGGTAAACTTACCTTTCGTGAGCACCGTGTGACAAGCAAACAACATAGATTGAAATTTGAAAAGTCAACTACTAGAAGCAAACACATACTTGACTTGATACATTCCGATGTGTGGGAGTCACCGGAAATGTCTCTAGGAGGAGCTAAATATTTTGTATCATTTATTGATGATTACTCTAGGAGATCGTGGGTGTACCCAATCAAGAAAAAGTCGGATGTGTTTCCAGTTTTCAAGGAATTCAAAGCACAAGTGGAGCTTGAAACTGGAAAGAAGATCAAGTGCTTAAGGACAGACAATGGAGGAGAATATACGAGATGGTGAGTTTCCGGCATTCTGCAAGCGGGAGGGTATAAGGAGACAGCTTCACGGTTGCTCATACACCTCAACGAAATGGTGTAGCAGAGCGGATGAATAGAACTCTCCTAGAGAGGACTAGAGCTATCTTGCGAACAGCAAGATTAGCCAAGTCTTTTTGGGCAGAAGCAGTGAAGACAGCTTGTTACGTGATAAATCGATCTCCATCAACTGTGATTGGTTTAAAGACACCTATGGAAATGTGGAAAGGAAAGCCAGCAGAGTACTCTTCTCTACATGTGTTTGGATGTCCTGTGTACGTAATGTACAACTCCCAAGAAAGAACAAAGTTGGATCCAAAATCCAGAAAATGCATATTCTTGGGCTATGCTGACGGAGTTAAGGGGTATCGCCTGTGGGATCCCACTGCCCACAAGGTTATTGTCAGCAGAGACGTAATTTTTGCAGAGAATGAACTGCAAAATGAACAAGTAAATGACAGCACTTCTAAAGATGTAACTACTGTACAAATAGATGGAAAGTCTGGAGAAGAAGATTCTTTAGAAGCATAACCAGAGCATGAGGAGCAAGAACCAGAAGAGGCCAATGACACGAAGTTCGACGAATAACACGTCGGATAAGGAGACCATCTTGGCACTCGGACTATGTAATGGCAAGTCATGATGCATATTGTCTTCTAACGTAAGAGGGAGAACCGTCAACCTTTCGAGAGGTCGTGAGTAGTTCGGATGCTTCTCTCGTGGATGGCAGCAATGCAAGAAGAAATAGAAGCCTTACACAAAAACAAGACATGGGAGCTTGTTGCACTTCCACAAGGTCAAAAAGCCATCGGCAACAAATGGGTTTATAAGATCAAACGTGATGGTAATGATCAAGTGGAACGATATCGTGCAAGACTGGTAGTAAAAGGGTATGCTCAAAAGGAAGGCATTGATTTCAATGAGATATTCTCTCCAAGTGGTTAGACTTACCACTATCGAGTAGTGTTGGCTATGTGTGCTGCATTTGACTTACATCTTGAACAATTGGATGTAAAGACTCGCTTTTCTTCATGGAGAACTTGAAGAAGAAATTTATATGCTCCAACCGTAAGGCTTTGAAGAACAAGGAAAAGAAAACTTGGTTTGTAGGTTGACCAAATCTTTGTACGGTTTAAAGCAGGCGCCAAGGTGTTGGTACAAGAGATTTGATTCCTTCATTATTAGCCTCGGATACAACAGATCGAGTTCGCACCATTGTACGTATTACAAGAGGTTTGATGATAATGATTTCATCATTTTGTTGTTGTATGTGGATGACATGTTGGTGGTAGGCCCCAACAAAGATCGAGTCCAAGAATTGAAGGCACAGTTGGCTAGGGAATTTGATATGAAGGACTTGGGACTCGCAAACAAGATTTTAGGGATGCAAATTCACCGAGACAAAAAGGATAGGAAGATTTGGCTCTCTCAAAAGAATTATCTTAAGAAAATCTTGCGGCGCTTCAACATGCAAGATTGTAAGCCAATCTCTACCCCATTGCCTATCAATTACAAATTATCCTCAAATATGTGTCCTAGCAATGAAGCGTAAAGGATGGAAATGTCTCGAGTGCCGTATGCATCGACTGTGGGAAGTCTTATGTATGCTATGATTTGTACGAGACCAGATATTGCACAAGCAGCTGGGACGGTTAGTCGATTTATGGCAAATCCTGGTAGAGAGCACTGGAATGTCTGTGAAAAGAATCCTAAGATACATTAAAGGAACCTCTAATGCTGCATTATGTTTTGAAGGATCGAGTTTATTGTCGGAGGATATGTTGATTCAGATTTTGCAGGTGATCTTGATAAAAGAAAATCTACTACAGGATATGTGTTTACACTTGCAAGTGGAGCGGTAAGTTGGCTATCTAAACTGCAGATCGTTGTAGCCTTATCTACTACAGAGGCGGAGTACATGGCAGCTACCCAGGCATGCAAGGAAGCAATTTGGATTCAAAGGTTATTGGGAGAACTCTGACACAAGCAAGAGAAGATCAATGTGTATTGTGACAAGTCAGAGTGCCTTGCACATTGCAAGGAATCCAGACTTTTCATTCCAGAACAAAACACATAGGAGTACAATATCATTTTGTCGAGAAGTAGTAGAGGAAGGGAGTGTGGATATGCGTAAGATTCATACCAAAGATAACCTAGCAGATGCCTTGACAAAACCAGTAAATGCTGACAAGTTTATACTAAGTCGATCCTGTTATGGCCTATTGAAAGCATAAGCAGCATAGATGGAAAAGATAATCATGGTGTGAAGATTTGATTAATTTCATCAAAATCTTCAAGTGGGAGATTGTGAGAACAAAGTCCCACATTTGTGGGTACTTCAAAGGGGGTATGGGTGAGTGGTTATATAAGAAACCACATACCCCCCATTCTAGACATCCCAAAAAAAAAAATTCCTTTCCTTCTCTAGTATTAGAAAGTGTTGTCAATTTTAGGACTAGAGAAGGGGTGTGTAATCTTTTCTTGCTATTATAAAATTTCTACTTTTGTCCATTATTGCTATTCTATTTTTCTCTTCTCTATTTTAGTTGAGTTCTTGTGCTAGTCTGATACCTAACATTTACACATGGATTTCTCTTATGTCTTCTACAATTTTATTAGAAAATAATTTTGTCCAAGTCAAATATTAGTTTAGTTTTCTTGGATAATATTAGTTAAAAATACTACCATCTTAAATAAACTTGAATGAAGAATTAATAAACTTGAACGAAAAGAATTAATTTCTTAATGTATATTGAATATATAGTCAGTTGTGATATAATATGTGTTAAAAGTAATATAGAATTTAGAATAAAATAAAATTGATACTTTTACCCTAACCCAACTATAGGATAAATGTGAGACCCTCCAACCGAGGGGAGATTAATGTAAATCCATTTTGGGGCCACCGTCTGACCTACAAAACAGGGGTCGCTTTAACAGCCAGTTTCTAAACAATCTATGGGGAAGCCAAGGAACAGCACCAACAATACCGGTTTTGCTTTTTTTTCTTTCCTTTTATTCTTTTTTTCTATGATTTATAACTCACACCACTGTTAGAAACAAAACAGTAGCACAATACCATGTCATGTGCCCCTAGTTTTAGAACTTTGATATTCTACACTTCTTATCCTCGTGCACACTTTTGCACGGTCACTTATTGCTGATTAGAAAAAATATCCTCCTCGTTAAGTCAAACTATATAACTAGTCCATCTCCATACCACAGTTTCTCAATTCTGGTTGTAGAGGTTTATTTCTTCTTCTCTTTTCTCTTTATGATCTTTCAATTTCAATTTAAAAGATAATGCAAAAACCATTCTCTAGAGTTTAAGGAGTGACTAGGTGGTTTCTTTGATATTGTGAACCTTGTGTTGGTGTGAGAGGAGAGACTAGTGCGGTTGTTGTGCATAGAAGAGTTGGTGGTGTGGTGTGACGTGACGATGGAAGGAGGTTTGGTGAACAACGTTGGTTATGTGAAAAGGGGCATTGCCAAGAAGAAGAAACAGCCTCATCGCAGGGTTAAGAGGCCAGTTTCAAAGACTCTTCAGCAACTATTTCATTCATGCAAAGAAACTTTCAAAGGTCCTGACACTGTTCCTTCACCACAAGATGTTCAGAGACTACGCCACCTACTTGGTATGATGTTACTGATAATAATACTTGTTGGGGTTGGATAAGAAAGTTTGTAGTCTCTTTTGATCTATTTAAGTCACATTTTACCATTTTTGGGGTCTGAATTTTGCATTTGTTTGGATATTTAGGTGATTATAGTAAGAAATTTTGTGTACTTCTGATCTTCACTTTCCCCAATTGTATAAAATTACAAAACAAGCATATGGCTTAGAGTTGTCTTGTTTTTTTCATCCCTTTATGTTTCATTCCAACCTGAAAAAAAAAATTATATAAACTTTTGTTCTTTACTACTTATATAGAGATGAAGAAAATTATAACATGCATCAATATTTTCTATGCAGACAGTGAGTACATATTGTGGATTTACAGTTTATTTTCTCTTAAAATTTAGGTTTTTTTTTATTACTTTCTGGATTATTCATTTTGAGGTGTTGTTCTGATTCTTTAATAATATCTTCAGATAACATGAAACCAGAAGACGTTGGGTTAAGTGAAGATCTGCAGTTCTTTAAGCCTGGAAATATAGTTAAGGAGAACCAAAGGGTCACCTACACAACTGTGTGCAAGTGTGACAATTTTTCAGTAAGTTTTCCACTCTCATTACTCCCTAATCAACAACACTCACCACAGAAATTGTTAGTAACTAGCATGGGTGCTTAGTTAATTTATGGTACATTTTTCTTTTATGTGCAGCTCTGCATCTTTTTCATACCGGAAGGAGGAGTCATTCCTCTCCATAACCACCCGGGCATGACTGTTTTCAGCAAACTTCTGTTAGGACTAATGCACATTAAGTCCTATGATTGGGTTGATTCGGAGGTCTCTGATGACAACCTGCTGCAACCACCATCATCTCAAGGTGAGTTCTCTCTTTGATCATTTTTTGTGACCATGAATTGATGATGGGGGTCTGCATTTAGTTCTTGAAAGCTGACCTACACATATGCTGTTTTTGCAGTGAGATTGGCAAAGTTGAAAACTGATAAGGTGCTCACATCATCATGTAACACTTCTGTGCTGTATCCAACTACAGGAGGCAATATCCATGAATTCACAGCCATAACCCCATGTGCTGTTCTTGATGTCATTGGTCCTCCTTATTCCAAAGAAGATGGTCGGGACTGTTCCTACTACAAAGATCATCCTCATGTTTCTTTTTCTAGTAAGTAACTTTCTCACTTTGTACACAAACAAACTTTGTATGTGAAACTGTTTGGAAAACGTAATTAAAAATTGTTTTCAAGTATGTCATTTTTTTTACAAAGCATTGTTTGTTACCATCAGAAACTTAAGAGTTTTGGTACTACTAGTTTTGTGTGTCCAATAACTTCAACGATAATGTACCAAAATCTTAGATTTCTCGGGTACCATGGGACCAAAATCATTATGCAAGCTCTCATTGTTTTTTAACATTTAGTGTAATTTCTGTAATAACTTTAAACATGAAGTTCAAGTGTTGTCATCGTTACACGACAAAAAAGTTATAAACACAAATATTGAATTTTAAAAAGATGAAAAGAGTCAGAATATTCAAACAAAAATATTAAACTGTGTGCCAGCTAATATTAATTGGTACGAGGCCGTGTCTTCATACTTGAGCGTGTCTTCATATTTGAGCATGAATAGTCCTTTTTAGGAGGTGGCACCTCTTCTACTTGTCCACTTCATGGCAGTGTCTGAACATATACGTACAAGTATACGTTTATTTTCATGTCTCTGATCATTAATGGTTTACCCTGCAGATGAAAAGATTGGCGAGACTAAAGAGGAAAATGATAACGATAGGTTCGCATGGTTACAAGAGATCGACATGCCAGAGAACTCTGAAATGGATGGCATGGAGTACCTGGGTCCAACACCCTTTTAGTTTGCTTTAGGCTTTTTCCATGTAGTATTCTCCAACACAACACACACCCTTCTAGTAATAGCATCTCACTAAGTACTACCAACTATACTGGAGCATATATAGCACTACAAAATCTTCCATCACTTTTCTCTCGTGTGCATATTTCGCTTTTCTCTTGTGTCTATATTCAAGGAACTAGTAAGTGTGCAAGTGTTGACTCTTGTTGTTCTTTTTATTCTTTTTTAAGTTTGAAAGTTCTTTGCATATAGAAAAACCATGGGCTTAGGTTGTTTACTTGTCAATCATCTTGGAGATTATGAATCATGGCTTTATTACTTCCAGTTGTTGCAATGGGTCCACACAGTGGTTTTATTCAGCAAGTGGTGAATAACAAGATTGACTGACTTTTTATACAAAGAAAATCATCCATGACCATACTTTTCACGATGACAGTGACCATCACGATGACGATAATAATAATAAAATAATAATAATAATAACGATGACGATAATAATAATAATAATAATAATAACGAAAAAGAAAGGGTTCTTCTGAACCTGAAATTTCTCATTATCACTTTTCTTCTGAATGTGTAGTAAATAGCTGTCATGTAATCTTTGAAATGTTGTGCATGCAAATCAATTTCATATTTAAACATGTTGAAAATTAGCTTAGATGCATATATGATTCTTTCCTTGTTTCATTTGACACTTTCTAGAACTATTTGAATTATGACTCTAACATATCATTTGTTTAAATTATTATTACTATTATTGTTGAACTGAAATTTATAGGATCTATTTAGATATATTTTAAAAAAATTATAGTAATTAAAATGCACAAATCTATTATGATTTGGAGTAAATATGATAATTATTAATAAAAATTATAGTTTAAAACAATTTTAAGTAAAAATAATTTATTTTTTAAAATTACATAATAAAAATAATTAATTTAATGATTTTTTACACTAAGTTCATTATATGTAATTATTTATATTTGACTTAAAAAATAAATAAATAATGGAAAAAAATATAAATAATACTAACAAATCGTAACTTAAAAAAAATAACAAGACTAATATATACACCTAAATCATACTAAGGAGGCACCACCAATAATCAGAATTGTTCACTCCCCACCAATAATGTATACTAATATCTTTCCACTGTATTCCAGTTGCAGCATTATAGAGATGAATACCGTCACGTGACAACAATGAAATTAACCATTACTCAATAACACCATAAAATATATTATATTTTATTTTAATGTTTAAAATAATTTTTGAATTTAGTGTGAACACTACATTTAATAGTTAATTGTACTTGTTAAGAATTTAAAACATAGGATGACTCTGTGTTAATAAGTGGCTACAGGGAAGAATGATAAGAAAATGATGAATGATGATAGGAGGTGGACTTAGGCTTCCCTTGGTCCATTTTATTTTTATGTTTTGATGAAAAAGATTGAAAAGGTTTAGGTCCATACTTGTAATGCTTCTTTCAACCTTTATAGTTACCTTGTACTTCTCTTATGACCTTTCTTTTTATTTGGGTTTCTACTTTAGAGGATTGGTGTACAAAATCCTCTAAGGTATTGTATTCTTGAAGTTCCACCACTCCTCGAATATATTTATTAAGGTCACTGAGAAATGTTATCATTTTTGCTTCTTGTGATTCTTCTACTTAGGCTTGTCAATGTGATCTCCAGTTCTGTGTAATACTCCTCCACACTTCTTGATAGTTGGAAGAGTATGTAGAGCTTGAGATATAGCTCTTTGTTGTAACAAAAATTCTTTTCATGCACCTAGTTAACTCGTCCCATGTCCTAATGTCTAGCATCCTTCCCATTTAAATTTCATACTAAATTTGGTCCATCATATCAAGACATACTCCTCAAATTCTAAAGAAGCTAGTTTAACTTTGGTGTAGTGTTCTAAGTCATATACAAAAAAGACTTGATTACACTAGGCCAAGTAAAATTTAGGGTAACTTTTTCCTTAAAATTTAGGAAGGTTTATGTTAATTCTTGTGATCCTATCTTGATTAGTGTACCTCCCTCCTTATCTCTTGAGTCTTTCAATATGGAATGACTTTTCTTGCATGTATTGCCCCCTTTCTTGACAGTAGGGAGAGTAAAATGTTATTTATCTTCTTGACTCCTCTATTTCTCTATCCATCCATGATCTGTCTCTTTCTTCTAGCTTTTGGATTCTTGTCACTAATTCTTCAACTTTTGGAATTTCCTTTTTGATTAAAAAAAGTTGTTGTAAAAATCCTAGATGAAAACAATGAGGGAAAGATTGATGACAATGTAAAACCTCATGCAAGAAAATAAGGTTCTAGCTTAAGGCACTACATGGCTTGTTGGATTGCCCTAAATAGATGATTTTGATGATGATTCAAGTCAACAACATTCAAGATTCAAGCAAATTCAAGATTATTCCTGAAGACTAGATAGAGTCTTAGAATACTGGATATAGAGGTACAAGTTGATGAAGTGGTATTATGCATAAGTCTCTAAAGCACAAATGTCATAATTGATTATATTGGTAACATAATTGATTATGACAATTCAAATTTGAAAAATATATCTGTTTTGAAGAATAAATGTTTTTAATACATCCTAATTTTTCTCTACGAAAGTATTAATGACCCTATTTTCTGATACTATTTTCCTATTTAAATGATTTTTGATGAAAAAAACAACAACACAATTACAGAATTCAAAAATTCAATTTACATTCAATCAGTTTTGAGAAAAAAATTCTGAACAAGACAAAAGAGATATTTTACATCTTCTGAGAAAACCCTCTTCTCTACTACCTTCTGTGCTTTCATTGTTAATCACACTTGTTCTTAGAGATTGACATTCTACAGGCTTCTACAATTTTATTACATTCATCCTTTGTGGGCTTAGATGGTTGATTGTTAAATTTTCGCAACACTAGAAAACGCTCACTAAGAATATTAAGAAACTCCGGAAATGTTTCGGAGGGATCCTAGGATAAGAATTTAAGAAAGTTGCAGAAGGGAAAGTGGAAGAATGTTGTGAAAAGGATGAGGTCGCCCCCCCTTTTATAGGAATTCGCGCCTGTCAGGTCGGGACCGCCGTCTCGCCTGACAAGGTCGGGACCGTCGTCTCGCCAAACGGGACGACCGTCTCGCCCTTGACAAATAGCGAGAAGGTCATCTTGCCAAACGAGACGGCGATCTCGCCCTTTGCCGATGGCGAGACGGCGGTCTCGCCAAACGAGACAGTGGTCTCGGCATTCTAGGTAGAATTTCTTATTTTTTTCGGTACAAAAAATCTTCCTACTCTAATATGGGGCCTATTGGTTTATCCTAGGAACCTTTTAGGCCTTTCTCATCTTCGAATCGAAAGTCTTCTGCTCTTTATTTTGAGGTCAGACAAGATTTGGGGTCTACAATCCTTAGTGGTATTCTAAGGAGATGTATTCATCCTTTGATTTATTCAGAGGAGGTATTTATCTCCAGTGAGATTCTAGGAAGATGTTCATCCTTAGTGGGTTTCTAAGGAGGTGATTGTCTTTTTAATTAGTTTACTCTTTACTGATTCCTTTGCTGAGTTGATTATAATTTGTAAACTGAATTTAAAAGATAGTTAATTGGAGTCACTCTCGTGTTAGAAGTGATTGAGAACTAGACATAAGGTTGGTTATACCCGAACCAGTATAAATTACTATGTACTTTTATCTTTCCTTTATCACTCTTCTTTTCTTAATCACTTCTCTTATATCTTCATGATTATATTATCGCTTCGCTTTAAAATTGAATTAACAAGTTATTAGACATCTAAAATAAATTTTTAATTTGATATTTATTTTAATTTGTGTATCTATTCATCCTTTCTAGATGTCATTTGTCTAACATTAAACAATTTAGAATAAAAAAAAAAAAAAAAACAAGTACAAGACAAAGGAGAAGTTGGGTTAACTCGTAAATTCAAAAATCAAATAATGAAAAAAAAGTTTCTTCCTCAATGTTAGTAGTAGATATCTGAAAAACTCCTTTTCGTCCAAGAGTTTAGAACTTATTAGTTTTAAACTTTAGAATAAACTCTAAGTTTGATATTCAAAGGATCCTTAAAAACTAAAAATAATTTTATAAGAGTTATTTTAACGAATCAATGTTATTAATAGTATTTTTAAAAGAAAAAAATATTTAAATACAACTTTTATAAGTTTATTTATTTAACTATTTGATTCATAAAATTTCACATGGAAAATAAATTTAGGTGACATAATACAATTATTTCTTTCTTTTTTTATTTATATATTTATTTTTTTCTCTTTTTTTTAGTGATTTTTTTACTCTTTTTTTCTCTCACTTCGTCTTAATTTTTTTAATTAAAATTTGATAAAATAAATATTTTATTATTTAAAAAAAATAAAAATAATTAAATTATTTAAAAATATTATAATTAAATATATTATATTTGAAGAAAATAGTATATGATAAATTTGGAATGAATCTTAAAAATAATATTTTTTTTTAAATTTAATTAATAAAATTTATATGAATTTATTTACTCAAATAAATCTATTTATTATTTATATATAGTTTTTCTTCTATCTTTTTATAATTTTTTATTTTATTTTTTCTCTTTTTTAGTTCACTTCTCGTCTATTTAATATTTAAAGATTTATGAGAAAAAAATTATATATAAATACTAAATAAATCTTTAAATATTTCAAATTTGTTTAGAATATAAAATCATATAATTTTTTAATTTTAAGAAATTAAATTATTGTTTTGATTTGAAAGATTAGAACCAAAGCCATTTTTAACTCTACATATTGAAAAGATAATTTTTTGTTTTTGAATTTTTCAACTTTTGGTGTTCCACATGTCTAACGGAAAGTATCCTACAGAAAATCCTTAACGGAGAGCTCTATTAAACAGCAAAAAAGGACAATACTTTTGAGTCGACTCAATCGGTAGCTTACTCGAGAAGTATGAGGGTCTGGACAAATTTATATTATTGAATTTCACTTTCTTAATCTTTCACACAACCATCTTCTTTCGCTTCTTCTGTACTCTTGCTTCACAAAGACACATTCAAGGTAAAGTTTCTTAATCAACATCCTCATCTATCTTTTTCCTCTCTATCTCTGTTCTTGGCATCCTTATCCAAACATCGCTAAGCAACCCAACAATCCAAGTTCAATGCCAAATCAGTTTGCATGCAAAAAAACACAACTTTCTCAAAAACCATATACACAAATAATCTTCTACTGTTTCTTAAAACAAACTAGTTGAACCACCAAGTGCATGCTCTGTAAACTGTTAAATTAAATGTGATGATGATACACGTGTCTGTCTTAATCATTCTATATTGAGACAAATATAAATTCCGTTTTATTATAGTTTGACAAAAGTATATATAAACAGGGACGATTTTCAATTCAAAGTATTGATTTAATGCGATTGAGTTAGACCTAAAACCCAAAGTCATAGTTTTCTGGACCAAGTTTATCTTTTTATGTTGAAAAATAAGAAACAGTATCATTAACTACTTGTGTCATGATACTTGGGTTATTTATTGTGTCGATTATTATGTTTAATGTTTGGTTTATGAAAGCCAAATGGGTTCTTCCATTAGGCTGCGTAACTTACTATGGCTGACTTCGTTTGTTCTGAATTGCGAACACACTTTACAATGACTTGAAAGAAAATGGCAAAACAAAATAAGGAATGGGCTGTAGGAATCGACCTTGGCACAACATACTCGTGTGTTGCAGTATGGCAGGAACAGCATCAGAGAGTAGAGATCATTCACAATGACCAAGGCAACAACACCACTCCTTCTTGTGTTGCTTTCACAGACCATGAAAGGTTGATAGGAGATGCTGCTAAAAATCAGGCTGCTACCAATCCAGAGAACACCATCTTCGGTACACTTTTACTCTTAAACTATTAGTGTTTATGGTTTTCCTGTAAAAATTAGTAGGAACAACACACTATCTAAGGAGTTATTGTAACTTTTGCAGATGCTAAGAGGTTAATCGGTAGGAAATACGGTGACGCAATTATTCAGAAGGATAAATTGTTGTGGCCATTTAAGGTTGTTGCCGGGGCTAATGACAAACCTATGATTTGTGTCAAGTATAAGGGGCAGGAGAAGCACCTTTGTGCGGAGGAAGTATCATCCATGGTCCTTACAAAGATGCGGGACATTGCAGAGGCATACCTGGAAACACCAGTAAAGAATGCAGTTGTTACTGTGCCTGCTTATTTCAATGATTCTCAGCGCAAAGCCACCATTGATGCTGGTGCTATTATCGGCCTCAAAGTTATTCGAATAATCAACGAACCCACCGCTGCGGCAATTGCATATGGCCTTGATAAGAGAAATGATTGTGTCGGAGAGCGAAATATTTTTATCTTTGATTTTGGTGGTGGTACTTTTGATGTGTCTCTCCTTACAATTAAGGACAAGGTCTTCCAAGTCAAGGCTACTGCAGGAAACACTTATCTTGGTGGAGAGGATATTGATAACAGAATGGTGAACTACTTTGCGGAGGAAATGAAAAGAAAAAATAAAATGGACGTAAGTGGGAACCCGAGAGCCCTGAGGAGGTTGAGAAGTGCATGCGAGAGAGCAAAAAGGACACTTTCATATGCCGTTACTGCTACCATTGAGGTAGATGGTTTATTTCAGGGCATTGATTTGTGTTCTTCAATCAGTCGTGCAAAGTTTGAAGAAATGAATATGGATCTTTTTGAAGAGTGTATGGAGACAGTGGAAAGGTGTCTCACTGACTCTAAGATGGATAAGAGCAGTGTAGACGATGTTGTCCTTGTTGGTGGCTCTTCTAGGATACCCAAAGTGCAACAACTATTGCAGGACTTTTTCAAGGGAAAGAATCTTTGCAAGAGCATTAATCCTGATGAGGCTGTTGCTTATGGTGCAGCTGTGCAGGCTGCTTTGTTGAGTGAAGGCATTAAGAATGTCCCGGATTTGGTATTGAAGGACGTTACACCGCTTTCACTTGGTGTATCAGTAAGAATAACAGATATCATGAGTGTTGTGATTCCTAGGAACACTACTATTCCTGTAATTAAGAAAGAAAAATATGAGACATCCAGAGATAACCAAACATCTGTCCTGATTAAGGTTTATGAGGGCGAGAGAGCAAGGGCCAGTGACAATAATTTGCTGGGCTTTTTTACACTTTCTGGTTTTCCTCTTTTTCCCCGCGGGCATCCCTTGTTAGTGACCTTTTCCATAGATGAAAATGGCATACTTTCTGTTTCTGCTGAGGAAGAAACAACCGGTAATAGGAATGAAATTACTATAAAGAACGACAAAGGAAGACTGTCAGCTGCGCAAATTAGTACTATGATGCAAGAAGCTGAGAACTACAAGTCTGAAGATAACAAGTTTCTTAGGAAGGCCAATGCAATTAATGATTTGGATTCTTATGTATACAAGGTCAAAAACGCTTTAAAGAGAGAAGATATCAGCTCAAAGTTTAGCTCGGGAGAAGAGATGGATATAAGCTGTTCAATTGCTAGAGCCATTGATATGGTTGATGGTGTGAACCAGATTGAAGATATAGTTGTTTTGGAAGACTGTGTGAATGAGCTTAAAGCAATCTTTGAAAGGGTTGCGGTCATGGGCAAGGTTAATTAGTTGGTTAGAATGCATGCAGCTTACTCTGTTACTATGTCTGTTGAATTAAATGTTTGTTTTGTTCTCGGAGGAATTTGGTTTTTATGCTAATTAATTATAAGACAAAAATTATTTAAATAGATTATCTATTAATTTATTTATCCCTGTTTATTTTATTTTTCTCTTCATAGTTTTTTTTTCCTTTTTTCATTCGGGCCTTGTTTCTTTCTTTTTCTATTTTTAAGTCTTTTATTTTTCTCTTTCTTCTTATTAAACTATTATATTAAAATTTGATAAAAATATGTTAGAATAAATATTTTAAAATCAACTATGAAACTAAAAAAATATTAACTAATTATTTAAAATTATAATGACGATAAATAATTAATTTAAAATTATTTTATCATAATAATTAATTATTTATCTAATTTAAAAATATCAAATATTTATAAGTTAAGCTATATTTTTTATTTAATAATTAATTATATTAAGTAATTTAAAAAAATTATTTATTAAAAAATTACTTTATAATAAAAATTATTTTTTTAATAATTATAATATAATAATAATATTCGTAGCATTTCAAATTTATTATATAATATTTTTTAAATATAATATATTAAATTATAATATTTCTATATCATTTAAATATTTTTATTAGTTAGTATTAATAAAATATTCATTTTATTAAATTTCAATCTACTATCTTTAACGAGGAATAAGAGAAAATAATCAAATATGAGAAAAAAATAAAATAAAGGAAAACAAATACAGAGAAAAAAGAATAATAAGAAATAAATGAAAAAAAATGAAAATAACTATATTATATTAAACGAATTTTTATGAATAATATAAAAATATAATTGAATAAATAAATTAAAAAAAATCTATTTAAATAATTTTTTAAAATATATTATTTATAAAATTGATTCATATTATACAATATTTATTATAAATTCACTTAAAATCGTTGTAATCTGTCACAGTCCTAAAATATATTTATTTCAAATATTTTTATATAATTTACCTAGAGAAAGAATTTCAAAATATAGATTTGTATACATACAAAGTAGAACCTAAAGAAATTATAACTAATACAAATTTTAAAATTTTATCAAATTTCATATCACTCTTTTTTTTTTTTTTAAGACTTAGTACCGTTTTCATGTAAAATATGATTATAATTGTTTAAAATCAATATATAAAATATACATAATAAACTAGTAATAAATACATGTATGTTAATATACAAAATATTTTTAAATTTAAATTTATTATAAAATAATAAATACATGTATATTAATATTATATAATTTTAAAGTTAATATATCACATTAATATATATATATATATATATATATATATATATATATATATATATATATATATATTCACTTTTCACATGTAACTATTCAATTAAATTAAGAAATTTTGTATATGTCACATTGTAACTTTTCTTATTAATCTCTAATTAATTTAATTATCATAATCTTTTATTATATATTAAATTTAATATTCATATATACTACACAACACACAACACGTAAAAAATATGTAAAAAAATATGTATTGATATTTTTCATAACTTGTATCATACCTCACGATTCATAATTTATCATTAAAAAATTATTATTTCCAACTTAAACATAAATAATAAAAAATTTAATTTACTATTTATTAAACAATAACAAATATTTAAGTATAATATGTTATTGAAATACAACAATTTTATAATTAAAAATCATAAAAAGATATTATTTAAAAGTTAGAAAATACTCATTCTACTTAATCACCTACATGATCGTTCACCGAATTAAGCACGTGTTAAATTTACTTAATTATTTGTGTTGCTCTTTCAATGGACAACCTCCTACCAATCACTAAACCTTTGGAATTTTTATTAGAATAATATTTTCTTAGTGAGTAAATAGTCACCCGATGACCAAAATTATTAGGTTTTTACTCGAATGAATTTCGTTCAACAAAAAACTGGTCACCCAACGACAATTATGTAGAAAGCAGTTATATAATATTTGAGAAATACTTATTACGGTAGTATTTGTAAAAATATTTTCTTGTACTTTTTATTTAATTTTCTTTCTTGCTTATCCGTATTATTTTCTTTTTATTTTTGATAAAAAAAAAACTAAAAACAACAAAAATTGATTTCTTAACTCATTCAAAACATTTATTTAAAACTATTGTGATCAAATTACCTTAACACATTTAAATCTTTTATCCTATGATACTATAGATAATAAAATTAGTTTCCTTTACCTTAAATGAAAATGCCTTAAACTAAAAATCTCTAAAATTTTTAAATTCCTGAGAAGTTAGATTCTACTAAAAAAAACTTTAATTAATAAATTAAACCTCTAATTTTAGGATATATATACTCAAAATCTTTGTTTCAAAAAGGTTAGGAGAAACTTACTTTATTTTAAATTTTAATTAAACAAAAATGTTCTTCTATATTCTAGGAGTTGTACTTGGTTTAAAAAAAAGAAGTAAGAAATATAAAAAGAAATTAAAGAAAATAATTCTTAGAAAAATATTAAAAAAATAATTAAATTTTTTTATTTATTTTTTTAATATAGTTCAATAAATCTTCATAACTTGCTTCATTGAATTACTTTATAATAGAAGAGAATTGTAAAATGGAAAATTTATTTTCAGCCTCTCTATTATTAATAAGTAAATTTTTAATTCTTATTTTAAAATTTACTAAATATATTATTTTTTAATTTATATATTAAATTATTATATTTTAAATAAAATTAATTTTACTAATATAATTTAAATTTTAAAAATATATACATTTTTGTTATTTGAAAAATTATTATTTGACTATTTTTATTGACCCGAGACCAAACCTAATATTTCGTTTTAACAGTTATAAATTTAATTATTTTAAAATAAAAATAATAATTAATTCCAGTGTAACATCTTCACATAATTATTTGTATTCCAAAATGAAAAAAAAAATCAATCTAAATAAAAAAAAATTATACTCTTCCTAACAAGATTAATGTTTAAGAAAATAAAAGAATAACACTTTAATTGGAATCATATAACTTATGAAAAAACCATAATAGATTTATTTTTACGCACTTCAATGTTAATTTAGCTTTAACCTTCTTATAAATAGTGTCCTTAAAAAAGGATGGTTACACTTTTTTTTTATATAATGTAAATATAAAGTGATGATATATCTATAAGAAAAGTTATAAATTATATATTAATATTGCTTCTTCTTCTTCTTTTTTACATATTTTACCTCATTACTGCAATGATAATTTTTATTATGCAAAGTTGCGTAAGAAACTTCCTAAGCAACTCTACGTACCATGATATAAACAACACTTTTTTTTTTTCATTAAGATCAAATTTTTAAACACGCAAGAAAAGGAACAAATAAAATATATTATATGGCAAAATGATTGAGATTATTACACTATCCAACACTTCAAAAAAATGTATAACTCGTATTCATTTAAAAAAATTATTTAAATATTTGAAATTTGTCTAGAATATAAAAATTATATAATTTTTTAATTTCAAGAAACTAAATTATTTTGTTTTGTTTTAAAATAGTAAAATCAAAATCACTTTTAACTTTAGATATGGAAAAGATAATTACTTTTTTTTCTTTATTTTTTTTTATTTTTTTCAAATTTTGACGTTCGTCATCTTTAACGGGAACTGTCCTAAAGAAAAAACCGTAACAGGAGAGGTTTATTAAAAAGAAAAAAAGGACAAAACTTTTGAGTATTATTGAATTTCCCATTTTTAATCTTCCACACAACCATCTTCTTTCACTTCTTCCAAACCCTTGTTTCACAAGTTTGTGAAGGAGATTGAAGGTAAAGGTTCTTACTCAACATCCTCATCTATCTTTTTCCTCTCTATCTCTGTTCTTGGCATCCTTAGCCAAACATCGCTTAGCAACCCAACAATCCAAGTTCAATGCCAACCAAATCAGTTTGCATGCAAAAAAGCACACCTTTCTCAAAAACCATATATACACAAATAATCTTATATCTTAAAACACATACTAGTTGAACCACCATGTTAAATTAAATGTGATGATCATACACGTGTCTGTCTTAATCATTCTACTTTGAGACAAATCTAAATCCCATATTATTATAGTTTGACAAAAGTATATATAAACATGGACGATTTTCAATTCAAAGTATTGATTTAATGCGATTGAGTTAGACCTAAAACCCAAAGTCATAGTATTCTGGACCAAGTTTATCTTTTTATGTTGAAAAATAAGAAAGAGTGTCATTAACTACTTGTGTCACGATACTTGGGTTATTTATTGTGTCCATTATTATGTTTAATGTTTGGTTTATGAAAGCCAAAATGGGTTCTTCCATTGGGCTGCGTAACTTACTATGGCTGACTTCGTTTGTTCTGAATTCGAACACATTTTACAATGACTTGAAAGAAAATGGCAAAACAAAATAAGGAATGGGCTGTAGGAATTGACCTTGGCACAACATACTCATGTGTTGCTGTATGGCTAGAAGAGCACTGTTGAGTGGAGATCATTCACAATGATCAGGGCAATAAACTACGCCTTCTTCTGTTGCTTTCACTGAAAATCAAAGATTGATTGGTGATGCTGCTAAGAATCAGGCTGCCATTAACCCAACCAACACTGTCTTTGGTAAATAATTTTCGTTTTATTGTGTGTGAATTTAAATGTTTAGACTAGTTATTTCTGTGTTGGCTTTTAGTAGAACAAATGATAGCATAACATATATCTGGCAAAAAATATGCTTTTTGTCAAGTTCCCTACTTTGTCTATGGCTTTCAATTAATAAGTGTCATTCCATAAGTCTCTTTTGACTAACATCAGTGAGGCATTAGCCTTGAATTCTTGCTCTATTGGGAACAGGCTTAAGAAATGCATCAATGACTAATTTTGCAGATGTGAAAAGGTTAATCGGCAGAAGGTTTAGCGATCCCATTATTCAGGATGATCTGAAGTTGTGGCCATTTAAGGTCATTGCTGATTCTGATGACAAACCCATGATAGTTGTTTCATACAAGGGTCTGGAGAAACATATTTCAGCTGAAGAAATCTCATCTATGATCCTTACAAAGATGCGCGAGATTGCAGAAGCCTATTTGGAATCACAGGTTAAGAATGTCGTGGTTATTGTACCTGCTTATTTTAATGACTCTCACGACAAGCAACCAAAGATGCTGGTACCATTGCTGGTCTCAATGTTATGCGGATAATCAATGAGCCCACAGCTGCAGCTCTAGCATACGGCCTTGACAAAAGACCTAGTTGTGTTGAAGAGCGGACTATTTTCATCTTTGATCTTGGTGGTGGTACATTTGATGTGTCTCTTCTCACAATCAAGGGTGATGTCTTTGAAGTCAAGGCCACTGCTGGTGACACTCACCTTGGAGGAGAGGACTTGGATAACAGAATGGTGAAGTACTTTGTTGAGGAGTTCAAGAGGAAGAATAAAGTGGACATAAGTAGGAATCCAAGAGCATTGAGGAGATTGAGAACTGCTTGTGAGAGAGCAAAAAGGACACTCTCATATGCTGTTGACACCACCATTGAGGTAGATGCTTAGCATTGACTTCTGTTCATCAATCACTCGTGCAAGATTTGAGGAACTCAACATGGACCTCTTTAAAAAGTGTATGGAGACAGGAGACAGGAGACAGTAGACAGGTGTCTTGTTGACTCTAAGATGGAGAAGAGTGATGTAGATGATGTTGTACTCGTTGGTGGTTCTTCTAGGATTCCCAAAGTGCAGCAGCTATTGCGAGACTTCTTCACGGGGAAGGAACTGTGCTTGAGCATCAACCCTGACGAGGCTGTTGCTTATGGAGCTTGTTTTTTTTTAGTTTTCCCCACTTGACTTGTGCCTAAATGCTCTAATGACCTACTAATGTGAAACTAGAAGGCAAAGTGGTGAGTTCATGAATAGGGAAGAAGAAACAAGAGTATACAATTCAAAGAAAAGTGAAAAAAGCATGATAAAACAAAGTACTTTTGTTCTCAAAAATATGTCTTTATAGTTAATTGTTTGGTAATTAGGATTCCTTTACTTTAATTTGTAATCTAGTCTTAATTGTGTGATTATGACATATTTGGCCCTTCATCATCAGGTCTCACAAGAGGGAGGCATATTCAATAGGGAACAAGCCAAGAATAAGCACATTTTTGCTTCAGCTGCATTCAAATTCCTAATAAGAAACAAGTTCGAGTGACACAAGAAAATGAGAAATAAAGAACATATGAAACAAGTAAGAGTGGTATAATTAGAGCAAGGAAAACATGAATTAAAGGTGAAACATAAAGTTTTTGAAGTCAAGATTAGATTTGAATTTTGAATTTAAATGTTCCTCTCTTAGTTTCATTTAAATTTGAATGTCATAGTCACTATCTCTCATATAAAATCACTTTATGTCATTTATGACAATTTGAGTTTGAGAGAAAAATACTCCTTTTAGTGATTTTTTATTTTTTGATCTTATCTCGATTTCTAGAAATTAAAGTGATGATTTTTCACCACTTATTTTGGAAAGACCTTTGTGAAGTGATATGACTCCTCTATAATGGACAAGTCTTCTATTTCTTCACTTTCTATTTACTTCTTTAAATTTTTTGTTTAGTTCTTTTCTTGATCTCATGCTCATATCTTTTCTTTCATATATTTGTTTTGATTTTGTGTTCTTTTTGTTCATATTGTTGCATCATAAACCTTCATACTTGTTTAAACAATTAAACTCATGTCTAGTGGCAAGTGATAGAATGATTCTTTGCTTCTTTTTTCTTCACTTGTTTTATCATAATCTTTTACACTTGTTTAAGTAATTAAACTCATGTCAAGTGGAGAGTGATGAAATTCTAATAATTGAATCCTAAACAAAAACTCAAACTATAAAACAAATTGCTTATTATTCAAGAATATAGTCAAACATCATCATCGACCATATCACAAAGGCAAAGGAAGGGTTCTTGGTGAATCTTGGATGGTTCTTGGAGGTTATAAGGTTGAAGCAGCTTTTACAAGTTATAGTTCTAGGTTCCTGGTGAATCTTGCTATGTCTTAGCTCCAAATCAATGTAAGATGATGACAAAGGAGGTGCATAAAATGAAGATAAGTTGGGTGTGAATTCCTTAAGGTTAAGTAGGAGGAAAACGATTTGCTTGTGGGCTATGTGGTGGTTCAATGGTCTAGGAATGTGCTTTTTAAAACTAGATTGGTTTTGGATTTAAAACAATGCAAAATGAAGATAAAGGTGATGGGAATAATAAAGATAAATATGTTGTAGGATGGCTTCTTTTGGTGTTTCTTAAATGATATAGTAAGGTGGTTTAGTGAGGTGGTGGAAAGATAGGAGTAAAAGTGGTGCAAGGTGACTCAAAGGAAGACTAAGGAAGACTTTGAAAGAAGAAGAGAAAGTAAGTCACTTATTTACTCTCTTCTCAAATAGTCATGTAAAAGCAATTTAAAGTTAACTACAAAGAGTGACACTTAACTCATTTTATAGGAAAAAGATGAGTCAAAGTCACGAGAAGAGAAAATATGTGGGCCAAAAACCACAACAATATTATTCAACTCAAATTAAACTAGAACACAATATGGTTGAATTGAATCACTTCCTTTATGTTTACAACTCAAATTAAAAATTTTATGACCTTAGTGAATGTCTTCTTCTAGCTTATTTGCGTTGCTCTTAATTAATAATTCCTTAGAATATTTGTTAATCCCCTCTACTTTTCTTTTTCTATCATTAAGTTTAGTCATGCTCTTTGTTTGCAAACCCTACTTGATGATAGTTGGTCTTCTTTGTTTTTAAGGATTTTCCTCTTTTTTGTCTTTATGTTCACTTCTATTGATTCCTTCTAACATATATTTTTGAAGTGAATGCCTCCCAACTAAAATCAAATCAAGGTTATCAGAATCGAGAGTCTACGTTGACTCGTGAGAGCTTCGTAGACTCGACTCGTAGACTTGTAAGAGTCTACTTCATATGAAAAATTCTATATAATAATACAAATTCAGAATTTCATCATCAAAATTAATGAAAATAAAAAAATAATAGTTCAATAATTCTAAAATAACTTGGTTCAACACACATGATTGTTATATAAGTTCAAATTACACCAAATACATAAGTTAATACAAATCACCAAAACATAAATAACTTCAACTTTCTAGCTCCAATCCTCTAATTATATCTTCTCCAACATCATCATCTTTTTCATCTTCATCATCATCTTCTCCATCACCATCAACCTCTTCCTCGGATGATAAGAGTGCATCATCAACATTGGCATCAAACACTATATTATCAAGATCAATTGACTCTAAAGTAGGATCAACTGAACTTATTTCAGTTATGTCAACATTTTCCTCATCACCTTCACCTTGAACTGGCTTAATCCCAACATTATCACCATCTTCTGTTATTCATTCATCATCAGACTCAATATCATCAAATGGGAGAACAACTGTTTTCCTATTTTGTTTATTTTTGAGCTTCAAGTTGTACATGACATAAACCAAGTCATTCATCTTTTTCTGGTGCAAACGGTTTCTTCTTTTTGTGTGAACCTATAAATAAATATGAATGTTTAAATACAAAAAATTAAAAACAAATAATAACTTAACAAATTTGACTTACCATTTCAAATGAGCTCCAATTACGCTCACACCGAGAAGAACTACAAGTTAAGTTCAAAACTCGAATAACAAATCGCTTCAACTCTGGAGTTCCATCTCCAAACATTTCACACCATTCTCCAGGAAGCATAACTTTCCTACAATCTTTTACATTTTCCATTGAGAAAAGTCTTTTTGAAAAATGAAACTCTAGAAGTTGTAAATTACTTTTTTTCCTTTCTGCAACATCCTTGACCAATCTTTTCATGCATTCATACAACCCTTCTTTTACCTCCACATCATCATTTCTAAAATTAGGTTCATAGTGCATGTGAGGGTTAAGGTAATATGCAGTCGCATGCAAAGGTCTATGAAGTCGATTATTCCACCTCTCATCAATTATGTTCCAAACAGGTTCATAACTACAATGATGCAATCATGCAATGTTAGAAATAATTACACAAAATAAAGAATGAAAATCGAAAAGAGAAAGTTTATAAATTTTACCTTTTCTTAATATTATTAAAGTTAAATTTGATCTTCTCTTTGGCGTAATCCATTTCTTCATAAATGAAACCCATTGCGAGTTTTATATCTCGAATCCACTAATCGAAGGACCACCATCAAATGGGCAAGAACTTTGAGACAAGTGGTTACATTCTTCCAAAACCGACTATCTAATACCACATGCTCAATTTTTCTCCCTTCCATTGAAGTTCCAAATTTGCTTGATTTCCACTCATCAGAGCTAAAGAAGCTCATCAATGATGCTTTCAATTCATGAAGACATGCAAGAGTTAGATAAGATGTGGCAAATCTAGTCATACCTGGCCTTATCAAGTCTCTACCTTTGGTAAACTTCTTTAACATGCTAATTAGCATTGCTCTACCATAAATGTAGGTAGTGATTCTTCTTCCCTTCTTGATAGTAGTTTGATGGACCTTCAAATGCTTTTCAAAATCTTCAAAAATCAAATCAATGCAATGGGCAACATATGGGGTCCAATACAAATGCTCTCATTTTTGCATCAATAACTCTCCAGCTGCCTTGAAATTTGCAGCATTATCGGTAACCACTTGAACCACATTCTCCTCTCCAACAAATTCCACTACATCATCCAACATCTTAAACACTTTATCTCGAGCTTTTGAGATATTTGATGTATCCAATGAGTAAAGAAACACAGATCCCTTTAGGACTATTGACTAGAAAGTTACAAATAGAACACCTTTTTTTGTCAGTCCACCCATCAGACATGATTGTGCAACCTGTTCTTTTCCACTCCTCCTTATATTCTTCAAGGATTACATCAGTTTTTTGCACTGCTTGTTTCAAAAGTTTTTCTCTAATATCATGATATGATGGGGTTTGTAACCAACTCCATATCTTCCAATCATCTCACATTTTTGCAAAAGCAGGATTTCTAATAACATTGAATGGAATGACACTTGTGTAAAAAAATTTCGCCACTTGAGCATCAATTTTTTCTTTATCCCCTTTCTTATATACACTACAAAAAAAAAGCCTATTACCTACGGAATATTACCTACGGATACAAATCCGTAGGTAAATTTTACATTACCTACGGATATTACCCATGGATAAAAATCCGTAGGTAAATTTTACATTACCTACGGATATTACCCACGGATGAAAATCCGTAGGTAAATTGTACATTACCTACGGATATTACCTATGGAATTCTATCCGTATGTAATTATCCATTACCTACGGATATTACCTACGAATATTACCCACGGATGAAAATCCGTAGGTAAATTGTACATTACCTACGGATATTACCTACGGAATTCTATCCGTAGGTAATATCATCCGTGGGTAATTCCGTAGGTAATATCATCCGTGGGTAATTACGTAGGTAATTACCTACTGAATTACTATCCGTAGATAAATTATATTAAACTAAAAAAATTGTCACTAGCAAGAATCGAACCCAGTACCTTAAAATTGAAAACTGATACTTCAACCACTAAACTATTAAGATATTCTAATAATAATTTACAACTAAATTATACTTATATTAATTCGTGTAAATATATAAATATATAAATATAAAATATATAAATATATAAATATATAAATATCTAAATATATAAATATATAAATATATAAATATATAAATATATAAATATATAAATATATAAATATATAAATATATAAATATATAAATATATAAATATATAAATATATAAATATATAAATATATAAATATATAAATATATAAATATATAAATATATAAATATATAAATATATAAATATATAAATATATAAATATATAAATATACAAATATACAAATATATAAATACATAAATACATAAATACATAAATACATAAATACATAAATACATAAATATTTAAATATTTAAATATATAAATACATAAATATATAAATACATAAATATATAAATACATAAATATATAAATATATAAATATATAAATATATAAATATATAAATATATAAATACATAAATACATAAATATATAAATATATAAATATATAAATACATAAATACATAAATACATAAATACATAAATACATAAATACATAAATACATAAATATATAAATACATAAATACATAAATATATAAATAGATAAATATATAAATATATAAATATATAAATACATAAATATATAAATACATAAATATATAAATACATAAATATATAAATATAAATATATAAATATATAAATATATAAATACAAATATATAAATGTATAAATATATAAATATATAAATATATCAAAATATAAATATATTTTATATTTATATATATTTTATATTTATATATATTTTATATTTATATATATTTTATATTTATATATTTATATATTTTATATTTATATATATTTTTTATATTTATATATATTTTATATTTATATATATTTTATATTTATATATTTTATATTTATATATTTACACGTGATAAATATAAATATAATTTATTTGTAAATTATTTTCAAAATAACCTAATAGCTTAGTGGTTGGAGTATCGACCTCCAATTCGAGTGTACTGGGTTCAATCCTGCCAATCACAATTCCCTTAATCTAATAATAATTCAAAGTTTCGAAAATATAATAAATAATAAAAATATAATATAAAGGGGAGGGGGTTCTAGGTAATAATAAAAAATAGGGGAGGGGTTGTAATAAATAAAAATATTTTGTTAAGGTAAGTGCATTACCTACGGATTTATAATCCGTAGGTAATGCACTCGTTAGCATTACCTACGGATTATAATCGTAGGTAATTACGCAGTACATTACCTACGGATTATAAATCAGTAGGTAATTACCTACGACCAAATTACCTATGGATTATAAATCCGTAGGTAATTACCTACGACCAAATTACCTACGGATTTTCTACGGAAAGAAATCCGTAGGTAAAGTGACATTACCTACGGATTTTTGTCATT